CTCTCTCTCTCTCTCTCTCTCTCTTCTCTCTCCATTGCCCCCCCAGTACTTGCTGGGATTTTTCCTTTTCTGCAGGAATTTACAATCAGCTGCTGGTCAGACCGTGGTGGGGGTTGCCATGGAGATGGCTTCCGTGGGCGAGAGGTCAGACTCTGAGACCATGTGCAATTAATGGATCCGAGCAAAACCTCTCGCGACAGGCAGTAGGAGGCCAGCCATACCAGGGTCCTCACATGCTTCCCAAAGTGACCAGATAGCCAGCCTGTGCCGTACTATTATATATGTCCTGCTGTGTTTTAATAATACAATTATTAGCAACTGTTGCAATGCATAAGGGCCACGATCTCTGTGCCCCAACCGTATGTTCAGAATATGCTCCCACGTGATTCAGGCTTTTCTGTTTACTCTTTAGGTTTTTCCTTTATGTTTTATTATGATATGTAATGTCTGCAAACTACACGTGCCATAGAAGCTTAAAGGTAATTGGCCAGAAGCAGCTTTCCCTCACACAAATGCAGGCTGATACTCAGAGAATCACGATCATTAGAGCTGCTGATCATTAGAGTTGCTGAGGCCACTGATCATTAGAGTAGCTCATCGTTAGAACCACTGATCATTAGAGCAGCTGATCATCAGAGCCACTGGCCATCAGATCCGCCGATCATTAGAGCCAGTGGTCATTGGAGCTGCTGATCCTTAGAGCCACTGATCATTAAAGCCGCTGATCATCAGAGCTGCTGATCTGTAGCTGGTGAGTTCAGGTCCCAGGGAATTAGGCATGTGCATATGGCAGCCATGTTCCATACGTTCTTGCTGGGCCCTTTGGTGGGGGCATTTGGGATCCTATCTGGCTGGACCCCTGGACCTGGCACTACATCCCAGTGAGATCCAGGTTGCTCATCCTTACCTCCAGCTGAGTGTGAGCCCACTGCTGCCCCTCTGCCCCGTCCCATAAGCATCTCCCTTAGGCCGTACATGTGTGTCCGAGGTTCAACAGGCCAGAGCAGCAGAGCATGATGGTCAGGAACCAGCAACTCCTGTGGGCTCCTGTGACAGCACCACAGGCTGACCAATCATCAGACAGAACCGAGTGAGGCAGTGTGATGGCTTTACTGCTTCTCTGACAGGCTCTCACTCCATGCATTGGACCTCTGTATGAACTCCCCAGTCACTCCACCCGCTGCTGATCGCCAAGGTCCTTCCTGCTGGTGTGGTGTCACTCATCTGCATAGCAGCATGTTTCTTTGCCACTTTTCTCTGCATCTGTTGTCATGCTGATTATAACTGATGATCTGTGTGAAGACCTGATACCATCTCAGGGCCAATCAGAGCAGGAAGAAGAACCGTAGGGCATGTAATTGGCAGGATTTGGGGTAGAGGGTTAACAACACGGCCTGACCGACATCGTCAAAATAAGTTTTTATTATATTGTGGGTGCATTTGGTCTTCTCAGTGTTATACATACATAGCACGCGCGCACACACACACACACACACACACATGCACATGCTCCATAATGAGCCCTTTGATTTGCATGCTTGACTTTCAGGTCGACTCAGTATCAGTTAGCACTGACCAATACAGCATGAAGCCCATCTGATCAAGTCCCAGGGTGGGTCATTCTCAGCGAGAAGGATAAAGTGGCGATTGAGGCAATGCAAGGGCCAGCATAATGGGGCCAACAGACTGGGGGCCAACAGAACAGGGGCCAACGAAACGGGGGCCAACAGACTGGGCCGCCACACTCGGCTCATTAAGGCCCCCCGGTTGTGCACCTCCATTGCGTGGCAGAAATAGCCGCTCATTTATAGAAGCAGGGGAGCCCAGGTAATGTTTTATTTATGACCGGAGGTATGAAAGGCCTCAGTCACAGAGGCGAGGCAGAGCAAAGCCAGCGGCGGCAGGGGGAGAGCGGGGCCCAGAGCACGGCCTCCATGCACCAGCGCTTTTGACCTTCTGTGTGCCATAAGGTGAAGGGGTCGCGACCCCGCAGGGTCTACACCAGTGAAAGGAGGACCACAGGAATTAACCCTTCGCGGCTCCTTAGAGGTTTCCAGCCCTCCAGACAGGGGCTCACAGGCACGTGTGGGGACAACGTTTTCACACGCAGCATGCAACTTCACGAGGATTTCAGAAACAGAATCTGCATCCCAGCACACAGGGGTGCAACAAAAACAGCCTGTCTGACTGACGCAGCGGCGCTTTCGCAGATCGGAGGCTGATCTGCCTGTAATTTTCATCACTGGGCCCTGCTACAGTCTGTGATGCGGTTTTTAAAAGACTAAACTATTATGTTTCAACGTGCGCTCATGTTACCGTGACTTCTGAATCACGGGAAAGTCAGTGTTTATAAAAGAAAAATGTGTGTTGATTAGTGATTTGGGGGGCCATTCTGTTCTTGTTGGTCAAATAGATGAAACGGCTTGCTGCCTCGACTTGTTTCACTGGGGATTTTCCATAACTCGTCAAAGTGTTTAAGTACTGAGTCACGGTGGAATTAGACATGGATTACTGCGTTTAGTGTATAAAAGGCACACCTGATCAGCACGGCTCACCCAAAGCATAAGGAATTACTAATTTATATCACAGAAAGCCAAATGATGATCCGTCGACGCCTGTAACTCGCGCCAATTTCCACACTTTCTGTATTTTCATCACTTTTTTTAAGATGCAGGATTTGGACTTCAGGACCAGTCGGTTTAAAACCCACAACCTTCTCAGCCCTGTCATTTAAGCCTTAGCGCAGAATTAGCTAAAATGCCCATAATCGCCTTGAAACTGCCTGTAATTAACCATAAAGATGAATGTATGCTGCTGGTGACCTGCATGCCGTCATGGGCAGAGAGACGCGTTTAATTGCTGTGCAGACGCAGTGAAGGGGATGATCTTCTCAGTTTCTAGCCCATCCTGAGAGACAAAGTAATTTGCATGAATCACTAATGCACACCGAGCTGGCTGGGTCTCCCCTAACCCTAACCCCACAGACATCCCTTAAATCTACTCATTATTTTATTGTAAATTGACCATAATGCCATTATCTACACCTAACTGATCACATTATCTCTGCACATCCTTATAATACTCTTAAACAAAGCAACAAATACATTAAAAATGCTACTAACATGTGCAGATTATATATTACAGCTTGTCTGTAGCCTCTTAAATTGTCCACCTTTATTAAAACGTATAGCAGCCCAACTAAGCATTTTAAGACTGGCTTTGTGCAGTGGCAACACAGGGGTTAATAGAGAGGCTTTGTGGGTAACGGGGTACTACACGGGCTGGTTAAAGGATCAGGACACTACGACCTGAAGGGAGAGAGGTCAAGCAAGGGCACATACTTGACGAGAGAGAGAGAGAAATAGGGTTAGACAGAGAGAGAGAGAGAGAGAGAGAGAATGAAAGGGAGAGACAGTGACCCTCTGGAGTGCTGCCTCAGATTGATGGGGGCTTGTTTGAGAATCCAAAGCAGCTCTGTGTGGGTAAGGATCTTATCAGCGACGGCGTTCTGGAGAGTTCTGTGTTACACGCTCTGATATGCTGCCTCTCTAAGTGTCTCACAGATAGCAGAGGATGAGAGCAGAGGAGGTAGCCCTCCCACCCCCCCTCCCCACTCCCCCCAGCACGCAGGCTGTACCGTCCCCTTAACCCCATAAAGAGAAAACAAGATCGACCCCGTCGAGGAGACATCTCCCCAGCGTGGGCAGGTACATGGTGCCACAACAAAGAGGGGTGGCTTCAGAGCAGCATCTGTGACAGACATCAGAGAGCCAAAGTTACAAAGAAATGTACAACACAAGAGCAACAGCTGGGCTTTCGCCAGCCCACAAACCCATCGCCCTGGAAAAATGGCTGGTACCAAGGATGCTGGGAAATGTACCGGACTGTGTTGACAGCAAAGGCTTAGAAGGGCCGCCGCCAAGCATGATGGGAAATGTACCGGACTCTGTTGACAGCAATGGCCTATAGGGGCCACCGCCAAGGATGATGGGAAATGTACCGGATTCTGTTGACAGCAGAGGCTTAGTGGGGGCGCTGCCGAGGATGATGGGAAATGTACCGGACTCTGTTGACAGCAGAGGCTTAGTGGGGGCGCTGCCGAGGATGATGGGAAATGTACCGGACTCTGTTGACAGCAGAGGCTTAGTGGGGGCGCTGCCGAGGATGTTGGGAAATGTACCGGACTCTGTTGACACCAGAGGCTTAGTGGGGGCGCCGCACTCCATCAAAACAAACCATTTCCTGTGCAACTGGCGCAGAGCGCCTCTTTTGTCTGCCCCCTCCCCAACCCAGGGGTCCTGGCGCTTTTCTCATGATGAAGGCAGGCCTGGCCGCGATCCTTGAGTCACCTCCGGGGTCACCGTCTTCACTCTTCGTGGCCGCAAGACAAATTGGTCATTGTTAGGCAGAGTGTCAGGCTGTGAAAGGGGCCAAATCGGTGGGGGTGTCTTGACAGGGCAGGAAAATAGCATAGTGAGTATGGCGGAGGGGGATAAACAAAAGGCCGGCCGGGACGAATGCGGCGAGGCCTGAACAGCAGCCGGCCGGGACGAATGCGGCGAGGCCTGAACAGCNGCCGGCCGGGACGAATGCGGCGAGGCCTGAACAGCAGCCGGCCGGGACGAATGCGGCGAGGCCTGAACAGCTCCTCCGACTCACCTTCCAGGGGCCAAACCAGAAAGGCACTTTCCCTTATGTGGCAAATATTCATTATGACAACATGCTAATTTGCTGACTCATGTCTTATAACCTGTAATCAACTTGTAATGGCTCCGCCAACTGAGAGCATCAGTTTGACCGCTTGGTACCACTCCCACCTGCGGCTCTGTGACGTAACCTGCCTGACAGCCTGCCACTTTATATCAAAGGGATACT